AAATCAATGTTTTTAACTGAAATTTAACGATTATATATACGTATATGAGCTGCAAATTATAGGTTAAACCCGTTTACGCTTTTCATTGTAGAGAAAAGCAATGTTAAACACATCTCTCTATTCTTTCACTCGCTATTCAACTGACAATTTAATAGTCTATTAACCAAAAAGAGAGAGTAAACTATTGGTGCAGAACTCTATGTGTTTATGTGTACCCGAATAATAGCCAAAGTGTCTCTACAACTATTACCAGGGTTTCTATGCTAGAGAGTGAGCGACAATAAAACTGTGATTTATGTTGTAATAGTAGCGACAATTGGGCGGAATATCTATTTATATGGTATACACTATCTATCGATGTATTCCCTTAAAAGCCTTAAAAAGTATTGTGTTTTTACCCGTTGTTTATACTTTCATGTTATAGTCGTAAATATTTTTATACTTTTGTATATTCTCTATCGGCAGCGAAAGTGCCTCTAATTCATGTGTGTTGTGCTGAGAGAGAGAGAGAGAGAGAGAGAGAGAGAGAGAGATCCCAAGAAAATTAGTTGCTTTTGATGTGCAAATTGGATAATCAAAAGATCCCATTGATTCGCACCATTTGCTCAGTTATGCTAAATATTGCCGTTTCTTATTTTGATGATCACCTGCTCATCGCTATGACATTTATTGCTGTCCACTCCAGAGTTGCACACAGTTTTTGCTGTGGCATTGGCTCAGAGAGAGAGAGAGAAGAGTATGGAAAAAGGGAGAGGTAAGAGGAAGAAGAGAAAGTGCACCGGTTGTAGGGTTTGGACACCACTACTATACCCAACCAACACAACATTACACACACAAAAAGTGAGAGTTAGTGCTTTTTAACAATAGCTTTTTTAGTTGCTTTTTTATCGGTTTGTTATGTTATTACATATTTAATGTAATATTCACCCGATTTATGGTATTGTGTATGTTATGTGTTGTGACATATAATGATGATCGAAATCAAAAGTCCTTTCAATTTATTTATATCACCGATATTTGTACTGAAAATTATTTAAAAAGTCAGAGAGAGCGAGAGAGAGAGAGAGAGTTAAATTTGAAATCTAAAAATCTAAACACTGTAAGTGTAAATATTATAATGATATGACAATTATATTAATGCATATTTCAATTCAATTCGCATATCAATAGGCGATATACTTATTGTCATTCAATAAAATCTATTTCTTTGCAAATCAGCAATTTTTATGTATAAAATTCTTTCATTATTCGATTCGGGGTTTCTTTTTCTCCCTATTCTTCCCTTTAAGGCAATGATATTTCCAAAAGAAAAGTTTCTTTTCGGCGAACTTTTACAGTAATATATTCTTTGATATTTCTTTAAAACATACAATTTTTTCGGGATGTCATTGACATTTGAAAAGATGGCGATAAGGCTTATGAAAGTAATATTATATGAGAGGATTAAAAGATATTTTGTGTTAAAAGAGCACTAAAAACCATATTTTTATATCATTTATTGTTCGTGTTTTTTCTCTCTTTTTTCCCTTCCTTTCCTGCGGCTAATCACAGATATATTTCTCATTTCAATTCAATCATTGATATATAAATACATCACAATTTTGTTTGTATTAAACATACCTTATTTCAATTAATTCATAAACACCGGCACAGAGTAATGAAATCTAAATAATTGATTAGTTGTTTAGGCAAACAATTGATTGAATTATGACACAAACGTAATGAAAATACCAGCGAATGTAATACTAATTATAAATGATTGTATGTTTGAATTTGTGGTCGAGAGGGGGGAGAAAACAGAGGCAAACAATTGATAACAAGTTTTTCGTGTCCCTCAAAAAAGAAGAAGAATGGGAGGAAAACCAGAAAAGAAAGAGAAACTTATGTCTCGTTAAACATGATATCATTAGAGTGTAAGCCATTGTCGAACACCTGATATTCCTGTATATACAGTATGTTTTTTGTGTCTCCCTTTTGTGACACAAAACCTCCGAAATAATACTAAAATCGCTAAAAGTTATTTCGATGTCAGGCCATAGAGTGAGTGCATTAGTCAGGCTATAGAGTTAATGAGGTATTTGAACAAAAAACTTATTGCCTGACAGTTTATACACTGGGCTTACAGTGAATGGTATGATATTTATCCCCAATCGGAATAAAAATACTAAAACTTTATTAACTTTAATAACAGTAAGAATTGTTTTGATGTGTTTGTGTTGTGTTTGGCGTAGCATTTGATGAGAATATTTGTGAGTTTTGAGCTCAAAATCTGTGGCAAAATAGCAAAAACAAAATCTCATTTTCTATTGAACTGAATATTATTATTAATTTCCATTTGCGATAAATTCTTTGGAAATTCGCTTTTCTTTGCCATAAGTTTTTTGTGCAAATCCTTTGAAAACATAGGATATAATCCATTAATAATGTTCTCTTCAAATAAATAGTCTTGAGATCCGTTTAATGATTTATAGGCAATAGTGTTGTACATACAGTGCTCTCAATACTTGTCCGCAATGAATATGACACTCACTTTAATTGAAATTAAATGAATATATTTGCCATTAATTCATAATTTTCTCCGAAATCATAATTTATTGCATTAAATCATTTCTCGTTAACAAACAAACGGTCAAAAAATTCCTTTTTTAAAAATAAAACATTTATTTATCTGTTTTGTTGTCAAAACAATCGTCTTAATGGAAACATAATATTTTTTGAAAAAATAATTTTATGGTTTGTTTTTAGTCTCTCTCTCTCTCTCTCTCTCTCTCTCTCTCTCTCTCTCTTTTTCTCTCTCTCTTTCTCTCTCTCCCTTGTAATCAGTAATCAAGTAATAGAAGAGCACAAAAAGCCTTTCATTAAAAGCAAAGTCACGTCTGAAAAGTCATAATATTTTGGACGAATATAACATTTTGAACGCAATTTTAACTTTTATTTACACATAAATCTTTTATTACATTAAATAACTTATAATTTACAATAACTTTAAGTCAAAAGGCATTTATTATTATTATTTTTATCCCTTATTTCTCGGACTTTTATGTCAAATATCAAATTCACTGCAAACTCGTAAATAATTTATTGCAAAATTCAATTCCTTTATATTCTTTAAGGAGAATATGATTTGTTTTGCAAACAATTAATTTTATGCTATTCTTCGCTGCATTTTCTGAATTGAAAATTTTCTTATTTGCATAAATATTATAACGATTTTCATAAAAGTGTTTGCTTTAAATGCACTTATATTTAGCACTTTATTTATAGACGTAAATTAATTATTTTCTAATTCACATAAATTATAAATCAAAACTATGCCATCAATTCAAGTGTGCAAATATTTCCCAATCATTGACAAAACATATTATTTAAATTAAATTATTTGTCAATAATAAACAATATATCTTAAGATCATGTATAACTTATTGTATGGCTATAACTGTAAATACCATATAAATCAATAGATAAACGTTAGGACTTTAGAGGAATATAACTCTCCATCCCATAGATTGACCCAAAAAACTGAAACATTAGATCTAAAGATCATTTCGTTAAAGTTGGCGTAAAATTGAAAAATTGAAAATATGACAACTTTTGAAATATCTTAATATCACTATATATTGCAATGTATTCTTCAAATTGTTTGCTTCACTTTTAAAAACGTGAAGTGTTTTCAAGTGATTCTTTGACACAAGACTTCACGTCGATTGTCATCCTTTCAATGTTTATATAATTGTTTTCAATTTGATGTTTTATATGTTTATTTTGTATTCAGACTTATTTTTTCTAATTATAAATTTATATATAAATTATAAATCATACATAAAACATAATGTTATTGTTGAGCAGACAATTTGCAAATCTATTTTTATACAACAAAAATTGGTTTAAATATTTGCTGGAAATTAATTTTTGCTTCATTTTATATTCGGTACAGTATTTGGATTTGGATTGTATTTACAGTGTTTTCTAGCTTTAAATTTGAATAAAATTTATTTATAACACAAAATCTATTCAATGAATTCATACAATCTTTTTAGATGCACTAAAAATATATAAAAACACACAAAATTTGTTATTCAAAATAACCAGTAATTGGTTTACTATTTGTCATCTATTATGCTGTAAATGTACTCTACATTGAAGTCCAATCTGTTTGAATTAAATCTCATCACTTCTCCACACACTGTATATTGTTGTCAATGAAATTCATTAGAAAAATATAATATACAAAAAATACTCAAATCTAATCTCTTTTTAAACGAAAATAGCTGTTCAGTTGAGCGATATATTTGTCGTGTATTTTATATGTATTTCCAATAAGAGATTATTTTGCGGCAAAACTGTTTCATAATCAGTAAAACTCGTGGCACTGATTCTCCTCTTAGCCATAGATTTAAAGCAAATCTAATTCACATTTTAAATGATTTTCTGTTCAATAATTCAAATCTATATATAGACAAAAAAAAAGAGATTTGATTTGATATTTGAAACTACAGTATATATTAATACATAAAATCTAAAATAATCTTTATTAAATTTTATGTCTGATATGATTTGGGGTTTATATAATATAATCTGATAATTATTTTTAAAATTTATTATTGATTTTTTTAGTCAAAGAAAATTATGTAAAAAACGTATCGATATATCAAATATTTGTCGCATGAAATAAATTTAAACAATTAATTATTTTAAATATCTTTTTATTTTTTGTATATAATTCACTTCAAAAAACATTTGTTAATAAATTTATTAATAAAAACATTTAATAGGAATAGTCTATTATTTGTCAAATAATGATTTAATATATCATATAATATGCATTTTGAAGCATAATATATGCGTTTTATATCATGATATGAGCGGATCTTAAAACCGATTTTACACAATATATCATAATTTTAGTTTTGGTTTTGTTTGAAGAATCAAACATTACATGAGCTGAGCCTCAGTTTAATTGTGATCTATTGATAACGAGAAGCCATTTGTATTAATTTTCATTATTGATATAATCGGAGAGCACTGGCAGTAGAGGAGCGGCACAACAGCGCCGCCAACAGAGCCGTCACCGCATTCTTCCCGATCCAGTCGTTCAATCCGTGCCTCTCTTTCTCTCTCGCAGTTCACACATCAAAGTCTTCGTCATGTGTTTCATTGGTAGACAAATCAATCACCGGTTCGTCGGAATAAATTCCCAACTTTTTGCCACATTTTTTCATTTTATGCAAAACTTGTTCGTGAACTGAAGCGGAAAATTATATTTTGTTACATTTCAAGCAATGGATAGACATTAATAGATAGAGTGAGTGGTGTTAAAGATGGTGAGAAAGAAACGATACCTAAATTAAAGCTCATCGCTATTAATGCCATTCCGCCCACAATATAAGCACTCGTTATAATGAGCTTCTTTTGTGAGCCCTCTTTTCCAGTGAATACTGAATGGCCGGGCATTAAGTCACCGAAACCTATGGTACTAAACGGACACAAATGTATTTGATGTTAGATATCAATTCAGTCAATACATTGCAATAAAACATTAGAGAAATTGAAAAATAATAATAATAAGAAAATCAAAGAAAAGATATATATTGTATATTACAGTAAAACTAACTGAAGAGAGAGAGAGAGAGAGAGAGAGAGGAGTTATCTATCTGCTTATGATCATTAAGCTTGATATCTTTGTAGACATAAAATTTGTTTTGTTTTTATTTGAAAACATTTTTAAAGAAATACTTTATAGAATTATATCTTAAGTAAATAAATAATTTAAAGTAATTGTGAGTAAAGAAAATTGGATAAAACCATTTGATACGATAGAAAATACCATAATTCCAGCCATAATTTAACCCAAAGAGAAACATATATTTTAATTAAAACTTATTTTAACAATTAAGAGAAACATTACGTCTAAACCAATATATTTTTCGCAACATTTTTTGTAAATACACTTTTATTTCGATACAAAAAATGAGTTAATAATTGATTTTTTTCTCCTAAAAAGGACGAGAGATCAGACAATCAGTGTTTTAAACATTGAAAGCGACGATAATATGAAATGAGAATAAAGAGCGCAAAAATGTTTTTGTAATAATCAATAAATCAAGAAATACTTATTTTGATGGATAAATGCAGAGAAACATTAAGAATATTTTGAGTGCATTTTCATAACCAATACTCAGCTCTTGATTCCCAAACACTGTGTTTTAAATCGATTTATTACTTAACCATTAAAATGCTTTATACGACAAAAGAGTGGTATTTTTGATAAAAAATGATTGCAATTAAATACCATTAAAGGAAAGTTTGTATGAAATATTTCCTGTAATTTAAAATTAAATATAATCTATTATTTGTGTCTTAATTAATATTTAATGGCTTCATTAAAAGCACTTTATTCAACAAGAAACAACTCGTGTTGGGCTCTGAATAAACATTTTAAAACATAAAACTAAAATGAAAAATAAAAAAGGTTAACGAAAGAGATGTAGTTTTTGATGCATTAATATCATTACACAGAATCCGATGTGATATATAAATAATATTCTTTTTACGCTAAAAAATCAAGTTTGCATTTCTTGGATAACATTATATAATACACAAGAAAACAACATAAAAAAGATGTGAATATATTTTTTCTCTGTAATAAGTAGAAGAGAGAGAGAGAGAGAGAGAGAGAGAGAGAGAGAATTTTTTCGTTGCAAATGAATGGAAAGAGTGATGGAAATGGAAGTTAGAGAGAATATAATGATTATAAATCTTCCAATTATTTGAGTCCTGGAGTTATTCATTGGAAAAGTTTTATCACTGCTTTTCTCGAGTTTTTTATACATGTGAGAGAGTTAGAGATTTGGCGCACATATGACATGCCCTCAATCATAATCACGTCCATCACTTGCCATCAATTCAATGATGACATACTTATTATTGAGAAACCATTTTTCGGGGGAAACCAGAAAAAATTTGTGATCCAATATCGGATGGTTATAGTTATGCCTCATATCATATAAAGGCTAAAATAGTGGTCCATTCATAAGGATATAATTGATGAAAATATATGACCATTAAATCAAAATAATTACTGGTATTCACTACTCTCTGTCTATGTATAGGAAAAAGTCATTTAAAGTATTTTTATCAAAATATATATGAAATAACGATTTGCTGGCGAATCAATGATAGCGATGAGTTCAATGGGCTATACATTCATGACATAAATATTTCATTATATTATATAATACGGTGTTTATATGAAACAAATTAACAATTAATTAGTAATTTGATTAATAAATAGCTTTCCTTTTTAGCCAATTGTCATGCATTTGACGGCAGGAAAAAAGGAGTTATAAAATTTGTAATATATAATAGATTTGATATAAAAAGCATATTCTGTGGATATTATGCTTTATATTTCTTATCACAACCGATACAATAGGAATGGCTAACAATTATTTGAATTAAATGAATAAAATTTTATTTTTATTTGAATTTTTTCAAGTTTCTGTTCATATCATATGAAATATAAGCCCATTTTATGCGTAGACTTGAAGTCATTTTTATTCATTTTAGAAAAGAAATGAAATAAAGAGAACAAAAAGAAACTTAAAAATTGATTTTTTATTTTCCTCCCTTTCGTTGTGAGGGAGAAAAAGAGAAAATCTGACAAAACATTTAGTTTTCAAATGTAATGCTTGTCTTACAGAATATAATGCTCTAAAAACTAAAATTTTTGAATTTAAAGGAAGTGAGAAAACCATGTTTTGTAAACATATATTTGTTGGGCAAACCATTTTTAATGGGAAACCATAGACACAACAGTCGACTAAACATTGTGTGTTTCTGAACAATATTTTAATTTAAAATCATTTTCCAATAAGATTTAAGCCATAATTAAGTGGTGGATATATTAGAGGGAAAACTTCAGCCTAATTGACATCGAGTTATTTTAATAAAATATTTTTAAAATTATTTTCAAATGAATTTAATTTGTTTAATTCATTGCTCACACGGGGATAACATTTGTTAGCTCTCCGATGGCAGACAGCAATTTCAATGCAGGCTTAGCTCGACTTTGCATTACTTTAATTTGCTTTTTCTCATAATTAAACTAATGGCTAATAAGCGAATGCCATTCTATTTCCATTGTAATGTTATTTTTACTAACTTTTATTTCTCTAATAATATTAGAAACTAAACATACAAACAAAAAAAAACACAGCAATTGTTTTAACGCATCAATTATTGTTTATGTAAATCAAAATCAAATATAATAAATGAATTATTAGAATAATGGCCAACTTTGTCAGCTCTCTCTCTCTCTCTCTCTCTCTCTCTCTCTCTCTTCTACTTATTACAGAGAAAAAATATATTCACATCTTTTTTATGTTGTTTTCTTGTGTATTATATAATGTTATTTCTCTCTCTCTCTCTCTCTGATACCATTTAATTCCGTTGTTGTTAAAGTTTTTTGTTGTTGTTTTAAGTGTGAACTTTTGGAGCTTTCATTGAGTACTTTAACATTGAGGGGAATTTATGAATCTTTAGAGATATCATTAACCAAACTTTTTTTTGCACTTTTCATTTGTGAGCCAAAAAAACTTACAAATTATAACAAATAGAGCGTTGAATGCTATAAGACTTAACTTAATTTAATACAACTGTGAACTCAGATATTATAGACTTTTTGAAAATGAGGACTAAATCATTGCATTTCGTTGAGAGAAAGTTTAGGATCTTTTTTGTGTTGCTTTTATATGTTTTCTGTTTAATGACGAGAGAATCAAAGAGAATCAGTCCTTCAATTATGTTGTCGTTTTGTAGGCTTAAGAGAAATGTCTTCAGAATTGAAATGTCTTTCCCTTTCTATCACTACAACCAAACACATCATTGCATGGCATCCACTCATACGATGCGATCAAATGGTGAGAAATGTCTGACGATTTGATTAATGTCTTAACATTAAAGCTAACAATAATAGAGAGAGAGGAATAACTTTTAAAGACCAAATGCTGGCAATGGGTTTGTGTCACAAAAAACACTTTAACCACACGAACAAAGATTTGACTTTGTGTTTGTTTGGCAAAAAATTAATTCTATGCTTAATATTAATTACATATATCTTTATCTCCAAATACAATTAGGATATGGGAACCGACCACGAACGAACGAGGGCAAACTGGCCACCATTGCCTATGCCTTAGTCGGCATTCCACTAATGTTACTGTTTCTATCAAATGTTGGCAAACTGTTAGCCAAAGGGCTTAAGCTAGTGTACGGCTATTGTTGCAATTGCTCAAGCAACGATCCAGACCTGGATCAACAAGGTCTGCACGCTCACCACCACCTCCACGATCACTATCACGTGCATCACATCGCCCTCAACGACGTCAACTCTAGCGGACATCTACTCCACTGTAACTCTAACAACGATCCCTACCAAAGGACCGCTAAGTGCTACTCCGCCTGCAATTCAAACTCTCAAAGAGATCAGTACAGTGTGGGCGGCGCCGGTCTCGAGGCCGAGACCAAAATCTGCACCGATATGTCGGACCATCACTCGTGCGCCGGCACTCTTAATAGAGCCCACTCTCACTCACATCACTCCATACTGAGGAACGCCAATCCGCACAACACGTCCGACCATATGATTGGCAATAGTCTCGATCCGGTCTCTCATCAAACGTCCACCGAATCGGAGACCCGGGATGTGACGGTTCCTATAATTCTGTGCGTTTTGCTCATTACCGGCTATGTTATGGTCGGCGCCTCTCTCTTCATAGTGTGGGAGGGATTCACTCTAATTGACGGCTCGTATATTGCATTCTGTTTGCTCAGGTATTACAACCTAAATATTTTGATGTGTTTTATTATTTATACAAATTATTATATTATTTCATGTGAATAGTTATGCTTTTCTGTAATTTTCTGTTGTTTTAATAAAAACAAAATCTAAATACTTTTTATATATAAGTGGAAGTGAGAGAAAAATAGATGGTTTTGATGTTTATTTTCACGAATGATGAGAGGAAATAACATAAACATAAACCAAATTTTTTGTGTTACCTCTATTGTAGTATTAGAGCACGCAATGCAATCACTTCAGTATTTCGTATAATATATAACATAATATAATAATATTATTAGATTTGTTGCGTTTGGTTATCAAAGAAAAAATATATATTACTCTTTACTCCAACCAAATTATTTTTGATCTCACGGTTCAGAATATTATAGTCTCTCTCTCTCTCTCTCTCTCTCTCTTTCTCTCTCGCAGTTCA